ACTCTGAAAAGTGGTCTGCACTAACAGGACTACTCGAATATTTCACTAGGAAGAAGACACAGCAAACAAAAGGCTTTCAGATTTTCCAGGGGTGACCGAACGCCGTTGGTATGTGGAGCAATCACCACACACCCAGGACTGCCAATAGTCCCAAACTGCTGCTGTCGGCCGCCACTGCACAACGTGGCCTCCCTCTTCATTTTTTCTTCCCATTTTTATTCTTCTTTCCATACACCCTTTCATCACGAAGCAGCTTGGCCTGGCACAGGGCAGATAAAACCACCTCCTGCCTTTCTTCCAACCTCCTGATCATAAACAGGCACAAAAAGCCCCGTTGATTTGACGTGTCACAGCTGCTGGGTCGACGGCAGCGCGGAGGAGGTTGTGCCGCACGCGCCAGCGCCGAGGGGAGCGACGCTGCGTTGGAGGGTTGTCCCAGTGGATGTGAACGGCGTGGACGCACGGCCGAGCGCCGAGGGAAACGCCGCTCTCATGCTGCTCTTGTCCCCTCACGTTCATCTCCGCAGGCCCGAGGTGGGTGCACAACGAGCTGCTTTGGGAGGCACGACAGCAGCAGGACACCGGCCCGCGCCACCCAAAGCACGGCCTTCCTCCAAAGGCCAGCGCTGACGATGGAACCTGCTCGCAGGTGATGTAAGAAGGTCTGTTCATCTTTCTGCATTCAGAGCTAAACCACGCTCAGGATTTTCCAAGCCTTTCTCACAATATTGTCCTCATGGATTAAGTCATATAAAAATCCTGCCTCTGGTTGATACAAAAATAGTTGAATCATCATCATCCTTTTGGTATTTTGAAAAGGAATCAGATATTACTGTCATGACAGCCACATAAGCAACCAAAATGCTGATCCTAAAAGTTCTGTTTCAGGCTAGTATCTACTTCATATAGCATTAAAACTTTTGATATAAACTATACCTACAAAAGGGGACCTCAATTTATTCTATATTCTTTCTATTGCTACTTAGGAACCTGCATTTGCAGTTTCAAATATTGTTTCAAACGAGAAAGCAGGAAGCCAGAAGAACTGACATAAGCAACACAATCAGATCATTTCAGGCATAAAAGAGAGTGAAACGGGTGCCCCTGCAGCAGGGAACGCTTCACAGCCGCCCCCTCTACCGAGATGTATGGTGCTAAATACACAGTTGGTGAGAACAACGAGCGAGAAGAAAAACTCTTTCCGCATGGAGCACATAACAGAACGTGCAACAGGTCCAGGCAAGTAGAACGTCACTGGGGAAAGGAATAATAGAAAGACTTACCTGTTACTATATAGATTTCAATATCAACAAATGTATGAGTTAGAGTGGACCCAAACTAAATTAAATATATATATACATCCCCCCACACACATTCACACACTCCACTTCCTTTCTGAAGTTCAGTCCTTCGTGAGCTTCCCCATGGAGGGGGTGCTGATGGTGGTGGAATGGGGCAGGGAAGACAACGCCACGGCCTCGAGTTGTGCCTTAACGAGAGGATTAAGCTCAGCTGCCTCCTCTATTTGTTCATTTGTCTGATTCATTAGTTAATTGTGCAGTGTTTGTTTACAGCTTTCCCAGAAGAGGATGAACAGGCCTGCAACCTAGCAGGGTGTCACGCACTGCTCCAGGTCACTCAGGGCTGCTCCAGGGTCACACGCGCTGCCAAAGCTACACCCTCATTTGGCTGGCTAAAATATTCAGATAATGAAATCATCATGGGTTCAAATGACCTTAGGTATTACGACTCTGGCCCAAGACCAAGCATGAGCCGAAAATTTGCTTTAAAAATGCAAAACAGAGATTCTCACTCAAGAAATGAAAATGGCAGGGCAGCGCGCTGGGCGCACTGTGCCGCAGTACCCGAGCACGTGCTGCAGGCAGCGGGGAGGACCTTCAGGGCAACAGGGCAGCTGTTCTCTCTGACACTGGCAAGGATTTGCATCTCCTGTTCAGCCAGGGAAAACAGAAGAACCTCAGGCTGCTTTTGATTCCAGCTGTGGGGAAGATGTGGAAGACAGTGAGATGCAGCTTCATTATTTTCTACATCCTTCTGCAGGAAAAAAAGAATGAGACCTAAGAACAGGAAGGGATGTGCTGCCTGTGTGCATGGTCATATTGTGGGGTCACACACACACACACACACACTCCTACACTAGAATAGCTTATAGAGCAGAGAAGAATTAGTTCTTGCTCTTCAAAAGTACAATGAGATAGTCCATAACAGAGGGAAAGGGACCCAAGGCTGCAGCAGTAATTCACCCTGTTCAAATTCCCAGGCCTGAACGTGGCGCCTCCGTGGAATATGGGTCTCCAAATCTTGCTCTCAGTAGCACCTGGCACAACTAGGACTGAGAACAAAGTTTTACATGTACATTGAGAACGCCATAAGACAAAATTAAACTTTAAATCCAGATGAGGAGCAGTTGCAAAACAGTGGAAAGTTGAAGTCTGCACATCAGAATTTCAGGAACAAAATAAAGAGCTGACTGCTCCACGGGGGGTTTTCCAGCTTCTGCTTTTTCTGCATCCTCCCCTCTGATCACACTGCCCAAAGCCTGTACCAGAACGCGGATTACCAAACTGAGGTTTACTCAAACCTCTGCAGTTGCCCTCCAAAACCAGCAAGTTGAAAGGCAGGATGATTCTGAGAACAGGAGAGAAATCCCTCTCTTAAGAGCATCAGTTCCCCCTAACTTTGATCTCAACATCTTTGAGAAATATTCCCATTTCTCCTTTCAAGCCTTCAAATTAAAGTTCAGGAAAACACTCCATTATCCATGAAGCACGCACAAGTAGCACAAGCATCTTCTGTATCTGCAAGATGAGCAAACACGTCGCCCGCAAGTCAACACAGGCAAATTCTTGCCTTCTTGGGGTTCTCAAGAACACAGAGAAGGAAAAATCCTTTTATCTACAGGCAGGATCAAAAAAAAAAAAAACCTTGCAAATATAAATAGGTAACTTTACACACAAGTAATTACAGCAAAACAAAAGAATTAAAAGAAAAACAAAAAAAAAAGAAAGATTGAGAATTAAGGTCATTGCCCAAAAAGCTACAAGGAAACTCTCCGATTCAGCAGAAAGTTGAGAAAAAGCAGTGGCACGAGCCAGGCTCTGCCCATGTGCATGGGGCAGCTCTCTCATTGCTCGTAAGGTTCAAAATCTCAGGCCTGCAGTGAGAAGGTGCCTCAAAGCAGCCACAGCAGAACGATGGTTCCTTCCTCCCCGCTCCTTTGCGAGGGCCGCGACACCTCCGCGAAGTGCAGCTCTGCAGCCCCGCGCGGCACGCAGCTGCAGGGCAAACCCTGAGCCCCCGCACTAAAATCAAGCTGACTTTAGCTCAGGCAGCTGCAGGGGAAACACTTAGTCCCCACACTAAAATCAAGCTGACTTTGGCCCGATGCGTTTTGTGGAGCAGCGAGCCCAGGTGGAGCTTCGCCCCGCGCAGCGCCCAGCGCTTCCAAGGGCTTCACGCAGGGCAAGGAGGGAGCCCAGGAGCCAGCCGCCCGTCAGCCCACGCAGGAACTAACTATGATTTATTTGATTGCCACTAAATAACTCTTATTTAACCTTGTTAGGCACTACAGTAGAACAGAAAATATACAAAACAGAGTTGAAGTGTTTTCTAAATAGACTACAAACTGTTTAGCTGTAATTAGTCTAATTAAAGAAAATATATGAATATACAGATAGAGAAGTCAAACTAGCAAGAAACACAATAGCTCTTAACACTAGTTTCCATCAAACAAGCTTACTGGATAAACTTGCCTCTCTGGTTTTCTGGCATTTAACTATGGAATTACATTAACTGATTCATTTCACATCAAAACCAGCTTTCCATGTATCACTTCATTATGTTCAGAGCATGAACTCACTTAATTGCTACTCAGCTGCTACTAAAACCATAATCTCATAAATGCCAGGGGAAGGAACCTCATCTCACGTGAGAGCCGGTGCAGGGGGAGCGATGTGCAGGGGCAGGGGCCACGGCAGCCTGCCTGCAGCCGCGCCTGAGCTGCCACAGCCACGAGAATCGTGATTCTGGAGTGGACGTGTTCAGCAGAGCCAGGTCCCAAGGGGCTGAACTCGCAGGCAGTGATAACCTTAGAACCGTGTGCGTTGCCCCCAGGTCTGCGTTACCTTTGAACAGAGAGAGTCACTGATCCAGAAACCTCTCGCTCTGCTTCCACTCCACCCACATTTCCTCTTGTGACATTTCCTTCTTTCTAACCGTTTTCGAAGAACATTCATGACAGGTTCATGAACGGAGTTTTCCCATTTATGAAGGGATACTTATGTCAAAACCATGGACAAATATAACGATTTTTGTAACAAATTCATCTCATTTATCCTCAGGTTAGAAGAACAGATACACCAGCTCAACTCTCTTCGAAGGACAGTGGGCCTAACCTTAGGAATTCATTTAGCATCAAAATCACATAGTTCCTAAAACAACTAACTGACCAAGCATTTTTTAATAATTTATTGCACAAGAATAAAAAACGCCCTTCTGCCTGACAACGTTTTCTTTGCAGCCATTCGTAAGGAGAAACATCAGCTTAACTGTCGGCCAGTGTATGAACGAAAACCACCCAGGGATTCCTTAGTGTTTACAGCTTCTTAAATATTAACCACAGTAAAACCATAACTGCAACCAACTATGAAGTTTTTGGATTACCTGGTCAGGTTACATAGAAAGGACAGTCTACTTTAAAATATATATGCTAGAGAAACCTGTATAAATATATATGTATATTTTTTAAACAGTATCACTGTCAAAATGAGCTCTGGTTTGCTAAACATAAAATAAGCAGAAGTCCAGTCAAATCTACTCTTCAAAGTAAGGTTTAAAAATGAGGGAAAAGAATACACTGGGTTTGCTTTGCTTTGCAACCACCACCAGTCCTAGTGGGAAAATTTCATATCGTTTTAGAGCTATATCTGGCACTGTGTAAAAGAAAAATACACCAATCCACACAAGAGAGAAGTACTCACACTGTTTGGATGCTGAATGGCAGCTTGGTGCTGCAGCCTGACCCGCTGGGGCATCATCACATCATCCTGCAATAAACAGCACATGGTTACTGAGCACAGAAAGGGTCGCAGCACAGGACCCAGACACACGTTAGAATATGCTGTAAATTAACATAATTTTACTGGCTTCTAGTCAAAAATACAAATGGAGCAAATATTCAAGCCACTGTGAGCGCTGCTTGGTTTCTTCCCAGTGGATGGAAGTTACACACTGAAAAAAAAAAAAAGAAAAATCTAACTTCAAGGCCTGTGAAGGAGTGCAGCTAAAAATGCGACACAATTTTTGAAATACATGTGTATTTTAGTCTGCTATTCTGCTCCAATCTCAAAATATTAAGGTTAAAATAAACTAATAACTATTCCCCTAAATCTTATTTAATGAAGCTTTTGGTGCCTTCTTTAGAAAAAAAAGTGAGTGTATATATGCATGCAAATAAGAGGGCTACATGCCAACAGAGCAGATAGAGATGATAAAATCCTCCTCTCAAGAAGCTCTTCATTCAAAAGCCTGCTTTTATGAGCAATATGGGATACCCACTTTCTGAAATATCCCCATTCAAAGCCCACAAATCTACTTACCAAGCAAAAGTACTGTGAACATTTGTGTATATCGATATATAAATAAACTTACAGAATAATCTGCTCCAGGAGAGCAGATAATCAATCATACTCCATGAGAGCCCACAAATTTAGAGCAAAGTTAAGGCTGATTAAATGACCCTGCTGTTCTTCGTCACCTCAGAGCAGAGACAATGAGAGATGAAAGGTTGTATTATTATTGTACATTACTTTAATCATCAAAATCATTAGCAGACATTATAGCTGCTTAAGGTCTTTTAAGTTCTTGAACTTCATTCAAGATCAAAGACTTCATTAAAAATCCATACTTCAAAGTTGCCTGCTTTTTCCAGGTAATTCTTGAAGCCATGACTACAAAGCCCACCACAAAACCTAGTTCTACTATTTTTCACAATTCAAGTCAATCACAAGCCAGCTAAGAACCAATAACAACGAGATAGAAGGCACAAGACTCCTGTTTGCTTGCTATTGGAGACATAAATGTCTCATTTCTCAATGATTTATGAGCTTGTACTGTGTAATTACCATTGATAAACTCAAGTCCAAGGCATCCTGCACCTCGCTGACAGAACCACAGAACCAGCCTCTCCGGCTTTGGAGCAGGACTTCAGTATATTCTGGAAACGTGGGGTTCCTCGCTGTCTGCCTGCACCTTCTGCCACTGGTAACGCAGAGCCCTCAGGCTCAGGCTCTGCTGATACAACGTGCCACAAGCAAAACGAAACAAAGGAAAACAAAACAAAACAGCAAGGACACCAAACCCTCAACAGAACAGGTGTATGTGAAAGATGTGACAAAAACTGAAGCACAGACGCCGTAACAAGAGACATTCGGCATGCAGTCAATACAGCCAATATGCTATTTCAGCTCCAATTCTCTCCCTAATTGTGGCCTCCCATGTTTTCTTCAATACTCTTTTCCAGTTTAGTCCCATATATCTCTACTTTGATGGCAGCAATTCAGCCTTTCTTACATGTTGGTACAGTTAGGACAACATGTTTCCTCTGAGGGTGTTTACAAATGGTTCCAGCTTATCAGCCAAGCTTAATCCAAAGCTTTCCTGCTCCACAGCCATTCTCTAAGAAGTTCCTCACATTAAAGTCCTTCTAAAGAGAACCCACCTAAAGCCAAAAAAAACAAATATTAAAAACTTGCACGTGGAACAGGTAAATCAATGGCAGCAGAAATCCATCAGTGCTTAAACTTTTAGTGCTTATAGGGTTGAATGGCCTTGAGGGTGACGCTATTATCAAAAACAGAAGCAGAAAGACAAAAGTTTTGGAAGTAGATCCGAACACTTAATACCTTCCAAGGTTAAAGATAAAGCAATGAAATAATAAAGCTGGTTTCTTACCACATGCAAATTTACAAAAGATACAAGGGATCTACCGCTACAAGCACTCTTCTGTGGTTCGGACTTAGGGGATATTGTGTACCAAATATAACAAATGTTACTGACTTTCAAAGGCAATGTCATTTTCGCACAATAAAGCCTTCCGACTTTTCAGCATCTACAATATAGGGAGAATACAGCCCTGAACGTTAAATTATTTCAAAAGTATGATGCCATTGCTTGCCATCTAACCCATCGCAGCAATAAGGGCATGAATTCAAGCACTGAATAATGCAAATGTTCCAGGGAAACACTTATCCTTAGAAAAACGCTCCCCGCAGAAAAAAACCCACCTTGCAAGAAGAACAAGAGCAGAACATTAAATCTAGACAGGGCTGTTTGGTAAATCAAAAAGCTTTCTGACAAATACAATGGAAGCCATTTAGTCAAACTGTTAATTAACTGCTGAAAGCTCTAATCATTTTTCTTTGTGTGCACAGCTAATTTTCTAAAATCTGATCGTCATATGAACTATAGGAGTCACGTTCTAGCTATGCTTGGTTTGCATTAAAGAATCCCATGGCATTCTTAGTAGATGTCCTCTTGTGGAATTCTCCCCTAAAAACAACAGGGGGAAAAAAAGCAATCCATCAAAAAGCACGGAATTCCCGCGCTTATAACAGTGCTACTATTATCCCTATAGTACAGGACATCCAGGCTTGCACTAGAAGTCTCCAGCATTCCCGACTCTCCAAAATGGAGACAGAGTTAAAAAACTGCCACATTTGCAAAGATTAAAAATACACAGGATTTTAAAAGGTTAAATTAGGGTATAAATCTTTCAGGCCAAATTCATTTGCTATTTACCAAACAGGTTAACGTTGTATTTTTATAGCGAGACAACTTGACAGCAAAGGGCGAGCTCCCCCCAACAAATCAATAGGTCATTTTCATGCTATTGGCAAAAGCAACAAGGCTGCAGATTAGGGGCCTGGGCTGTCAGCAAGATCATCAATATTCTGTATTAGTTAACTTCAAAAAAGGCCACTATCAATGCACGAAATTCAAAATACATTTTTTCAGTACTTTTTTTTCTCTAATGCTGGAAAAGCTGCCACTTTCCACAACAATGAAAATACGAAGTCTTTCCTCACACTACCTTAAAAAGAGCATTTTGCTTTTTCTTTTTAAGCATCTTTTTCAATGTTTTTTAATATGTGATACACGCTGCTCAGTTCTGTGTATATGGGCCCATGAATAAAAAAAAGTGAGAAAAATGGCATAAAACAGAAATCCTGTTGGAGTGACTCCATCCTATCAGATTTTTAGACTCATTCTGGGCAACCATAAAAGCAAGCTAAATGCAATGCAGTTAGTTTTAGCATTTTGAACACGTTTATTGGTGATGCTTATGCAGGTAACTGCTAAGGAGAAGAAAATATATTAATATAGAAATATCCTTACCTAATACTATTGCTTTGTGTATCTAAGTGTTTAAAAACTAATGAGTACATGTATGAAAACTGCACCAGAGTGAGAGCCCTTTAAAGACTTCTCTATTGCCCAGGTCAATATTGGGAGTATTAAGAGCTGTGTAGATAAATGAGACACAGGCTGTGTAGATAAATGAGACAACTAGAGATGCCCACATCTTTTATGCAATTTGTTTCCAATACACTTCATGGAAACATGAATTAGCCATCAAAACGTATTTACAATAAGGAATTCAATATCTAAGCTGCTCTATTTTCACTTCTGCAATCTATAGAGCATTTTTCTGTGGTTAAAACTATGAATGTAATCTCAAAATTTTCCAGGAAAACAAACAAACAAACAAAAAAACACATCTAGGAAAACTAAATCTCTATCTATTTTGTTTTCTAGATCTGAAAGGAAATCTAAAACGCAAAAGGAAAGCACATGTGGAGCACACTTGGCCTGTTGCCGAACACCAGCGGGAGTCGAGAGGAGGGCAGCACTAGATAATATGGAGATGGGGCTGAAAACAGCATTCAGGAGTAGTAAAATTCATTCTATTATTTTTTAAATCAACATTTACAAATAAAAACGTTGCAGGAGAAGTAAAGTACTACCCAGAGGAAATCTTTTAACAACCAACTTTAACATGAATTTCCACTGGAATTCTGTTTTCCCGGTTAATGTGTAAGCCTCTACAGGTTGTCCCTTGGCAGATGCAAGGGACACAGGATGAAAAGGGATTATCTAGCCAGCACTAAAACCCTGACAAGAGAAAAGATTTAAAATAAGCATTAGATAAATGTATGCCTTCATTTAGTGGGTATTTTCTAAAGGTAATAAAATAGCTAAATAAAAAATAATGTGTAAGAAAAATCTATTTTCATGTGATCCCATTAACGAAAGTGAGCAGAGAAGAAAAATCTCAGGTTTTACTGGGTTTACTGTAGTTACACACATACAAATACAGACATGTATATTTATTGCATTGTATTGGTATATGTACATACATACAAATAGAATGCAATCAATGCCCCAAAACAGTTAGATGAAGATGAAGATGAAGATGAAGATGAAGATGAAGATGAAGATGAAGATGAAGATGAAGATGAAGGTTTTGTAGCTCAGGCTGGGGAAATTCAAATGACGAGTGTTGCGCAGCCTGTGCAGCACCGCTGAGCTCTGCTGCGATAACGTGAAGATCTTCCCCAAGAAGCTCCGTCCCCCGCGCCTGGAGCAGACCCCGTGACGCAGCGCGCAGCCCCAGTCCCCTTGCACCCCGGGGCTGGCTGCACCCCGGGGCTGGCTGCACCCCGGGGCTGGCTGCACCCGGCCACGGCTCCGGCTCGGCCGCGGCTCCATGGCCCCCACGGGGCGCTCGGCTGCCCCCGCAGCGGTGCCTTCTTCCCACAGCAGCTCCAACACACAAGTACAACCTGGTACTTGACACCCTGAGGCACAACCTGCCATTGGCAGGGGCAAGCAATGAGCAATTCATCAGCCAGTTATGGAAACGGTTAGACCAAGCGCTAGGTTTGTAACTGAAAGCAACCCTGAAGGCTGCAGATCCCAAACCACCTCTCAAGCGTGGCTAGCTAAGGTCCAAGAAATTCTTTCACAGACCTTTGAAGACCACCCCCTCACTGACGTGGTTTTGATCGTGAAACTCAAGAAAAAAATTATGTAATTTCACAGTGACTGAGAATTTACATTCTGCAACTGAAGGCACGCAAGCCAACCCCATAAACAGGAAAGGGAAGGCCAGCAGCTGCCAATTTGAACATGGTCTTGTTGATTCCCGGGAGCTGCCCTCACATTTAGAGAACAAACTTAACTGTTTCCCTGTGCCGTTTTCCACCATTAGCAAGCAGAGACTGTGATGGAGCTCAGTGCCATGGCTCTGGACTAAGGATATTAAGAGCAGTGTAACACACCACCAGCTGAGCCTCGCACAGCACTAAACCAGTACTCGGTGCGAGCACACGTGATGGGGCGAGAGGTGCTTGGGGCAGGGAACGGATGAGCTCTGATTACAATAAAACATAATTGGTAAATAAAGTCATAGCTGCGGACAATTTGAAGCAGAGGTAATACTGAAGCGTATTTGCCTAAATTAGGGAGATCTGCTGTCATTATGACAAAGATTTTCTGAGAGTACAAATGCTAAATATGAATAATTCGTTAAGGATCTTTGGATTTTCTGCTTGTTTTGCTGGTGGGAAAAGTGACTCAGTAGCTTCAGGGAGGAGTCTGTTAACAACAGCTACAACACAAAGCCCCACAGCAGCTCTCAGTCAAACAGCTGCCACCGCACACACAAGAATAGGCTGATGGAATTGTGACAGCTCTGAGCTCTGCAATCCTTTCTTTTCCACATTTCTTCCCAAATTGTTGTCCTCACAAATCTATCTGTGTTGAGAGACATAATGCAAGCAGCTTGGCTGCAGCTGGAGCATCAAGCCGGAGGGTTCTCTGTGGAACTGCCACTTCCCGGGCCGCGGGTGCCCAGGGAGCACGGGGCGTTCGAAGGAGCACGGGGTGTTCGCGTGGCTCGAGCGGGTGCCCACGGTGCCCGCAGCTCCTGCGCCCGCAGCCGCGCGGGGAGGCAGCGCCGCTCCCCGCAGCCCCGCGGCACATTCCGCAGCGCTGACATCAGCATTCCCGGTGACCGAAACGGGAAGGTAGGCGGCACGTAGAGGCAGGGCAGCCACACAGCTGCCCACAGCTGTATCTGAGCTGCTGTCACACGGCACTTATAACTTGCACATTTGCAGGAGCTTCCACATTTGTTTTATTCCTTCCAATCTGTTTTCGGCTAACAACTGTAGCTACAAGGAGAGATAATTAAAGGTAATTCAGGAATACTAATCTTTTTTTTATATATCAAGATGAGCCATCTGATAGCTCAGAACGACTCCTGTTTTGAAGCATTTAGCTCAGTGGTAGGAATAGGAATGTGCAGAACAAGGACTCTTGGTAGCTTCTTCCAAACTTATCCATACTGCAATTCATACAATTCTCATCCAAATCACTTTGACAAGGACTTAATAATATCAAGAAATATAAACTCATTTAATGGTAGTCTGGAAGAAGTCTAAAATCCTCATCCAAGTTCCCTCAGGAGGGTAAACGGTTGTCCTGACATTTGTTCCTTAGTGAGCCAAAAGACAAAACAAATGGCAGCATGAAGACGCATACGGTAGGCTAAATAATAAATCAAGAAATTTGAACAGATGCCTATAAAGTGTAATTATTCTCATTTAATTGTCTAGTTTATTGCTACTGATTTACAAAGAGCTAGATCTGTACTAATACAAAATTTACCTCGGTAGATCGCTCCACACAGCTTTGAGAGATGAAGCTCTGTGGTGCGAGGGAACGAAACACTCGGTTCTCACTCACACACAAACTCCAACTAACTGCAGTAAGCAAATACCCGCACTCCCTCCTAGCACTGCCTCGAAAACCTCACCAGACATTAGGCAAGCCTAACGGCTGGACTGGGCAAATGCTAAGTTTTCACAAGACTAGATTGAGTTTTTCCTCATCTTGCATGGGTAGGTAGCAGCAGTATCTCACAGGAGAGACTCAAATTCATGGAACTGCTTGTATGAATTAAACTGGCTTTGGATGTTGTCCACCTACCTGTAGTAATGCAAGAAGAATCCTGAATTCACTCAAACCAACAAAACTGCCATCAATTTCAGTTAACTTAGGGCCTAATTTATAGCGCCTACGGTGCTAAAACAAATCTGTATAACGTGGCGATAAACATCAGAACAGTGAATTTTGTGCTCACACTTCCTCAAAAAAAAAAAAAAAACAACTTCATGAAACAGACACTGAAACTCGGTGCATTGTAGCTGAACATGAAATAAGTATTTCTATACTGTGCAAGAAAGAAACCTGTCGAAAACTCCCATTAATCTCTATATGTCACTGTGAGCTTCACACGTCCAATGAGTGCTCAGAAATTTCTTTTTGGAATATCCATATCCAGAGTTACACATATGTATATTGCATTTCAAAACTTCATCCTCCATAAACTTACGCATAGAGATTTGTGTCATATACACATGATTAAAAGCTGTTGATGGAAAAGTAGAACTAAATTAAACACATTTTAAAAGGCAAACTATATCACGAACTATAGTAATACTTTATAATAGCAAAATCAAAGGCCAGGAAATTTGCCTGTAAAAATGAATTTCTTAAATAGAAAGGCAAAAAAAGAAATTTCTGCTTCATCGCCTTTGATGAAAATAAATATACCAATGCTGAACTAGTCATGATTTGTTGCAATTACATTGATTAATTCGCAAAGATTCCACATACAACCAGAAAACACCTTCTAACCACTTGGTACAAGTGGAGTTTAGGGATGGAAAAATCACCCAACTTAAAACCTGTGGGATTTACCATCCTGCACTCATGAAAAATGCCACAAGACTTTCTAACGAGCACAAGCAGTGATGGGGTTAGCTGCACTCCTGAGCTCAAAACTTGTAGCAGCCAGAGAGTTCCTGCCCTGCACTAAGCGAGAGCCCAGCTCCAGCTCAGAGGGCAGGGCGAAGCTTCAGCTCCGTGCGACCAGGGACCCTAAGGGTCGGGCTCTGCTTGCTGGCTCCTGGTCACCACCCTGCAGATCAGTGGTGCACATTCGTGCACAAACGCAGCATGGGAGGTGAGACCTCTCCTACCCAGCAGCGCAGGAAGCAGATCTGCTCTTAGTTTCTCAAGCAACTTCAGCAGTATAATTTTGTGAAGGCTGTGTGAATGCAAAAATCCTAAAAATATCTGAAAACCAACTCTGACCACCACAACTTGTGGAATCCAGCAGAATCCAAGAACCAAGTGCTAGGTTTTCTACAGGTTGAACACCTATAGAACTATAACTAGGATACAGCATGGGCTTGATATCCAAACAGGCTTAAACTACTTGAAATTAAACCCCTGCATTAAAAACAACAGAAGAAATATATTGACAAAACTGAGTGAAACAAAACACAGTAACTTACAGAATCCAGAAAACAGAGATAGGCTCCCGAGCTCTGCATTACTGCTTGATTCTTAGCATATCCAACTGTTAAGAAAAATAAAAAATCAAATTATATGGAGCTCAGTAAAGATCCCCTCAGAAAGGCAAACATGCTTCAAGAGCTGTTCCTATTAGGTTTTACCTACTAAGCACATAGGGATAACAAGTAAACTACAATAAACACACTACACATGCATAATTTATACTAACCACATTAACTTTGTTAGTTTGAAATATACACATACATAAATATATAAGTATGCACACCCAATATATATCATATCTTCAGTCCTCAGTCCTTCCTATTTGTTTCACTGATCCACAAGGTAAATTATCAGAGCAAGGAAATAGCTTCTACTATCGCCTATATTTGTAGAGGACTTTGCATAGCAGGAGATTAAAGCCTAACTGGAGCCTTAGACTCTACTGGAACAGATTGTAAAGGAACAACTGAAGGACAAGGCAGTGTTAGACAACGTGTTCTGGGAGCTGGGTTCTCCAAAGGACACAGAAAAGGCTCTGTTCTGTTTTACTTGTTAGATACAAAGTATGCAAATACAAAAACTTCATGAGTCATTTAAAGTAATTTTGAAACAGTCTCATCAGGAAGCTAGAGAAGAATCAACATGATGCAACTGCTCATGTAACACAGAGAGGAGCCCAAGGAGAGTAACAGATGTACGAGGGGCCCAAACCTGACACATTTCTACCGCGCCAGCTTTTACCATCTCTGGAGGGATATTTACACTGAAGCATAAACTCAGTCAAATGACAACACGGGTATCTGTGGTTTCACGGGCTGCAGCACCCAGCAATGGGACGAGCTGAGACAACCACTGAAACACATCAGCAAGGGACAAGCCTAAACCTGTCCACGTGGGATCATTTCTGTGCGTAGACAAGGTCTTTTGTGTGTAGACAAGGCCTGCTCTTTGCACTCTTCACCCAGGCAGCATTACAAGGGCAGACCACATTACCCAGTGTTATCCTGAAAAGCCTCACACAAATTCCACTTGGTGGTATTTGAGCCATTTAAGCCTTGTCTAAAGTACTGATAGACCTAAATTAGGGAATTTAGTAAAAGATTACTCTGAGTGCAAAGCACATGATGTGAAGATACACAGCACTGCACTGTCTGTTTTCTTACATGGGAAAAATGAAAAGGCAAAAGCAAAAACCTTCACAATGAGGTAAATAAAGTAGGATAATTTTACATAGCATTAGCCCTAAAGTTCCTCAATTGCTTGGAAAAGCAGCCTTCTGGATTTCTCTTCTCTAAGTCATGCAGGTTTAAGTTTGCTCAGGAAACACATTTAACTGCATTCAAAGGTCACTTCGTTTAATGCTCCTGCTCCTTTGTCATTTTTCTTACCATTCCAAGTAAAATAAAAGGCTTATGACTACATTTCTTACTGCCTGAAAGGAACATTATGTCAATTGTCAAAAGAAGAGTAATAATACAAGCTCTTTCTTCTATATTCTGATTTTCTTAATCCTCACCTTGCAGATGTCTTTCAGTCACCTTCCTTTCTCCATTATGCATTTCTTAAACTTCGTTACAGTATCTTGCAATATATTTTCATATTATAAGTGTGTGAGTATCTAACCTCACTGTTACTAACGTCTAAAGTTAGTCCCATTTTCCTTCCTCCTGGCAGCAGAAAGCAGCTGGCAAAGCCAGTGGCAGGCACAAAAGCAGGACTGAATCCTGGCACGGGCTGTTTTAGAGGGAAATGACTAATGCCAGGTACCAAGCCTGGACATGCCAAACAAGCAGAGCCCTAATATTGAAGAGCTCCCTACTAAAGCACGAGCAAAAAGGATGCGAGAGAAGCAACTCTGCCCAACATCAGTCAAATTAATCTGCAGATCTATCAGTATCAACTGCAAACCAGCCTGTATTTGTATTTCATTGCTGTCATCATTATACCCCAATACTGCAGCTATCTTTAATGATGTCCAAGGAAACTACTAATGAAGAAAAGAAGTGAAAGGCAACTACAAGACGACGATGATGATATTAATGTAGGTACTTTCTGAAATATTTTGAATCTTATTTTCAAATAAAGCATTTTAAAGAAAAGTGTCAAATATTAAATATTGATGACAAAAAGTTGGAAAATACTTCTTTGTAAGATTAAAGCAGAAAACTGCATTAGGTTCTTCCTACAGAGGCAGTGTTTTAGAGGAAAACACACACACTGCAAAAATTATTCGAAAGAGACACAATTCCCTGTAGAAAGCAGATATTAAAGGACTGTTCCCACACAACGAATCCTGTTTGGTAGGAATAAAAAGTTTTCCTAAATATTACTGTACTGAAGAAGCCCAAATGCTTGTGCCAGCTCTCTGGGTTTTGTAAGGCCTGCTCACTTGCTGAAAAGAGCCCGTTGCCGTGGTTACCACCGTAAAAACTTAAGCCGCACTGAGATATTAACATTCCTGCCTCTTGGAAAGAAAAAGGGCTTCTTTTTTTTTAAGCAAGTGACCCTTTCTTTTTTGTAGGTTCCCCCCCTCTTTCTTTTACATGTTAGAAAAGAATCAGAAATAAATCCTAATCTTGTGTAAATAGTCGAAGATGTGAAGCCCGACTACTACATTGTTTCTGTATTAAAGCATCTTCTTTTAAAGGAGACTCCTTACAGTTGTAACTAGTCCTTAACATAATAAAAGTAAATCACTGAAAGCAAACAAATACTATGGATTTCAAGGAACCAGCTCCTAAAATGTAACAACCATGAAGAATAGACGTCCTCATTTTAATGGTGACCTGGGAGTGACTTCCACATGAATAAGCTTTTTATTTTTTAAAGTATGCATTTTATACTACTATTTAAAACAAGGCTCACCTCCCCCGCCCTATTTTAATGACCTTCTCAGGTTTCAGCTATACTAAAATGGACAAATACATGTTAAAATGATAATTAATCAACATAACTGTTTAATAGCTCAAATTATTCATTGCAGTCATCAATTCTTGAACTTTGTTTCACTTTCCTAGAGCACAAAAGTGAACTGACCTCAGAGTATTACGATATTTTCAAGACATTGCACCTATGTGCTCTTGCAAATTAAAAGTTGATATATAGACATTATCAATACAATCCTATATTTGGAACAAGACTTAATGCATAGAAAAGTGTTTTATAACAGATGGAAAACAGATGAGAAGAAGACACTAGTGAGAACAAAAATACCAGTCAACTCTCCCAAGTACTATAAATGATAATGCCCTGGCAATAATCTTTGACTTTCTGTTAAGAAATGAATGGTTTATTGACAAACTTAAATTTGCAATCAGGTTCACAATACCTGTGTATTCAGTGTCACAAAACCCAGGACAGGAATTTGATTTACACACCTCACAAACAAAATACATGCACACTGTTGTGCCCGCTTTGTCCTGTGGTTGTTCTCCTTGGGGACACAGGTGTGACCTTCTGCCCATGTTTAATGCTATTTAACAACAGCATCTTCAAAGAGCAAGGTACTTTTCCTTGTATTTTACATTTTAGGAAGTGAAAAGCCCAAAATACAAAACAAGCAAAATGACCTAAAGAAAAACTGCCAATGAGATTTGTTCATTATCTCCAATGGGAAAATTACAATATGCAACTAGGAGGGATCTGGGGACCTGTTAGTAGTTACGTTAGGTGTTAGAGCAGTATTTTTAGTGAGCTACTTCAGTAGTTTCTTGTCTTAGCTTACGTATCAAAACTTCTTGATCAGATCAGAATGGAGGACTTAAAAGAGATACTGAAAAGCTTCTGTCTCTAACAGAAACAAATACTGGTTTTCCTTACACACCTTATAAAAGGAAAGCAAGGCTTGATTTTCAAAATACATGTTCTTTTTTTCCAGAGCCCCCCATCTCTATATCTTCATCCCGCAGTAACATATTTTGTTATTTAGTTTGATTCTGTTATTTACTGGTCAATTACAAAACTCCATAACCAGTTCAGATCTGGCTTGCATCACAGATTTAACCCTGTTTAAAACGAGGGGAGTTTTGCAATAAAAACAACAAAAAGCCTAAAATTTTCACTTTCTACAGCATGGCTGAAATATTCCTTTCCCACAGTCATTAATAAAATATTTTAAATCTGTGACCTTTAATTCAATCACATTGTTTATGATGATAGGCTTTATTCCCAGGAGCATAATTTGGGAAGGGGAGGAAATGTTGAGCTGATTAAAAATCAAGATCTAGGACGAAAAAAGAAAAAGTGCTTTACTATTATTTTTCCTTTGGGTTCACTGCTTTCATTTTTTTCTACGAGGACAAGGGATATCCACTTGCTTTTTCTATGACTATGAAAAAACCTCAGATTCCTTTTTTTCTTTAAATCCCACCTCCTGAGGATAAATCAGATATCAGCAACTCACAGCAAGATTGTAAGCATTAACAACATTGTATATATTATAATTAAACAAAATTCTTCTGCTGAGTAGAGCACAACTGTTAAGCCAAGTTCTTCTTCCCTGTATGTATAAACAAATACAACAGAGCCAAAACAACAGGGCCAAATTCTAAATTGCATTTTTAATGTGGAGCTCTGAAAAAATGTGGGGTTTTTTTGTTTGTTTTTCCCCACTGCAACATAAATGGCTACAAGGATATTTTTCAAACTAAAATAAAAAGATACCTGCTGTAACAACGTAACTCTCAGAAAGAAATCACTATTCAGCTACCCACCTCCTCCAGGCTGGGATGAAGTGTTATGTCCTATGATGACCGGTATGCCAGCAGCTTCCAGCTTGACCTTCCATTTTTCAATGATTTCAGCTGAGCTATCCTGGTAAAATAAGGACACAGAAGCAGCTATTTTATCTTGTACACTAGTCCAAACACAGTCCTAAATAAAAGTTCTTAACTGAGGCAGTATTTACTTGGGTAATGTTTAAACATGGCCTGAACCATACCTGACTGGCATCATTAAAAACTGACAGCTCCAGAGCTCCTTTGAAATCCTGCTCCAGCACGGACTGCAGGCATTGATCCAACCAGCGCTCGCCGTTGTGCACGGGCAGGATCACGGACTGCGGGAACCCAAACACACACACGTGTTAGCAGGCGCTGGTTTTGCTGCCTTACGGTTTCTAAATATTGAGGAGAGGCAAGAAAGCCTTCTGAAACCAACTTGCACAGAAAATGGACCTTAAGGATAAAAGTAGGCAAAAAAAAAGCATTTTCATCATAATTATATGCTTGAATTTCTTCTTTATTGAACTGTGTGATTTTTGAGTTCTACAAGATGGAGTTGAGTAGAGCTTCATGCAGCCAAGTGACTACCAAGCCAAAAGTGCTAACGAAGTATCTCCCAGAGCACCTCCTAAAACCAACACTGGCCAATTTCAGGTATTCCAGCACCTCTCCAGCCTCTACTTCTGGCTGTGACTGAAATATCTTTTGCTACATTTTCTGCTTAAGCTTACGAACAAATTGAAGATGATTAAATACACTTTAAAGACATTTCAACAGCTTCCTAGAAAACAACCTAAACTCCTTATCTTACCAAGTAACCCTAAGCACCTAGTTTAAATAACCAGAGGCTCAGTTCCTATTCTGACTACGGCAGAAGTGGAAAACAGACACTAAAAGAGCACTGGAAGGGGTTACTCCAGATTTATTACATACGTGGGCGTGCAAGCACATACACCAGAGAGCAGACATGGTCTGTGCACACCACAGAGTGCCAGTTCTTGAGGTGCCAGGGAATATGATGCATGGTACAACCCTTAACAAGTAAAACACTTAATAGCATTTCACCGGGTAAATAAACTGTATCACTCTAAAAATGAATGTGCCTCCTCATTTTGCCAAGATGCTCTAACAGGCTAAAGTGATATTTAAAAGAAGAAGGAAAACTTTAAGAATTTTAAGCAAAGCAAGACTTTCTGTTTTGGAGAAATAAAAAGTAAAAATATCACACCAAATAGGAAAAAAAAAGAAAAAAAAACAAGAGCAATATACACAAAAATGATGTTATAGAGCTTTGCCTCACATCAGTACTTTGAGACTTTAAAAATATGCAGAATTCTGAGAGTCTCAATCAATAAATTTAACCCACTCAGGATTTCAATGTCCCTTATGTATAAACAGCAATTAAAATAAAACCTTGAATGTTGTTGCAGATCAACACAATTACTCAGACAGAAAGAGGCTCTTCAGTTCTTCCACTGGCAATATTAACATGCTGCAATTTTGTAGACCCAGGGAAAAAAAAAATTGTTTTTCTCTTTAAATTAACTAACCTCAGGGGAAAAAAAAAAAAAAATTGCCACTAGTAACTAGCCTGATCCAGCCTGAACACTGAATAACTAGAACTCTTTCTTTTTTTCCCCACAATGAGACCAAAAGTGAAAAAACAAATGTCAGTATTATGTTAGGACTTTTCCCTTGGTTTTGGCTCAAAATGGCAGTGGCAAAACTTAAACAGCAGCATGGACGAAACAACTTGGTGCTGATAGGTGCTCTGAACTCTACATAATAACCTAACACAATGCAGTACAATATGGTGTAATTTGTTTGTTTTTTTCCTGAGGCCAGAGAGAATTTGAAAACAACACAGAGAAAAACGTCCATTTTTCCCTATTCGTCCCTACATTTGCACCCTGGTTTAAAAGCTGAAGGAGGCACTGATCCTGACATAGGTATTTTGGGCAGGGCTGTGAATTGACCTGTACCCTTCTGGGAGCTACCAGAATATTTCAATCACCTTGGTGCATGAAAGAGAACTGAACTCCAGAGTACAAACTTCACCAAAAATCAGAGAAAAAGTTCAGCTAATAAATGCTGCCCACTACTTTGGGGCTAAAACAGGATTAACTACCGCTATGTCATTGCTGACAAAGCCCAGTCTCCCGTGACAGAAGCCCCAGCCTTGCCAAGGAGGCCCCTGCAGAGGAACTGGGTCAACACACGGACATAAACTGCCAACAGCCACCTTCATTTTGTCCTTACAGCATCACCTGGGCCACACTGAGCTATTCTTATTAATTTTGTCTTTTTTTTTTTTGTTGTTTGCAAAACCCAACAGGAGAGCATTTCCAAGGCCTAGAGGCCGACTCCTGCATTTAAGGCACAAAGGGATGAACCAGGAGATGTTTCCTTGCTTTGTTTTGCTTTCCCAGCTCTGCTCATTGACGTACCTGTCAGAGCACTACGAAACAACATGTTTTTTCCCTAAATTTAACAAGTCCTATCATGAGACCAGAAGCGATTCCGAAGTGATTTTAGGAGCTTTACCAATGTCACTTTGCTGTCATTAAACTGGAGATAACGTTTTATCCCGTTTGCTGTAGGACAGAGACGAGACAAGGTCGGCGGGTGACAGGGAGTCACCCCCGCCTTCCACAACCTTATCACCCAGCTGCACAAACCTCCTCTCCTCACTCCCCAGTGACTGAAAACCAACACACCGGGCCCAGGGTACGAGAGGTGAAAGCTGTGGGGAAGAAAACACCAGCGAAGCAAGCTGTGTGCCTGAACCCGAGCGCCTGGCACCAAGAAAGCGCTCCTCCTCTGCGAGGAGGTACACAGGAAATACCTCTAGGAAACGCTACTTGCAGATCCATTAAGATGCAGTTCGAGCTGCCTCCTACCCGCCCCCCATGATCTGGACACTGAAAGCAAACGCCAGGAGGGGTTTCGCCCCGCTGGGCTCCGTGTCCGCCCGGCGCGTTCCCGCCAAGGCCCCACGGCCGCCCCAGGCTCCATCCCGCATCCCGCACCCCAGGCGGGCCCGGGCCGGGGCTGAGGCCGCGGCCGGGGCGCCCCGGAGCAGCAGGACCCGCCGCCGCCTGCAC